TTTGAATCAACTAATAGTTTCACAGAAACCACTATAATTTCCAATGCATGAAGACATAATATGCCTCCACAAACTAGAAATATTCACACCTTGTCTTCCAATCCTTGGAACAGAATAATGGGGCAAGAAAATTTATCAACAAAATTAATGGGTGATCTCTCAAAGTACTCCTTTTCACCTCCTGCAATCAGTGAAAGATAAATTACTAACAAAGTGGACAAAATTTGACAACAGACTAAGCACCAGATGTGAATTCATGAAATTACCAACAAGGTTATCGAGATAACGAGATTCAAATTTGTGAGTTTCTGCTCTCAACAGGCTTAGGTCAGCCACCTGTATGCAACATATATCAGTTAGTTCTTAGGTTAACAGTAATAATAATAAGAAATAAAATCTGAATATGTATCAAATTTCATGGAAAAGCTAATAGTGAGGGGGGAAAGGGAAAATTTGAAATTTTTGGTCTAAAGACTCCTATGGGTCACACAAGTAAACAGTGCATTCCTATTAACCTTTCTTGATATATCCAGGGAATAACATAACTAGTAAGCAAAGTGATCAAGTATATATATAATAAAGACTAAGTGCTTCAGGTAAAAAGACCTCTAAGGACAAAACTAATTTGTAACTGCCAAAACGATCAAGTACTTACACCATACAGGGATGCTCCAGCCTTGAATGTATCTCTAAAAGCAAGAGCAGCTAATGTTGTATATCCCCCAGCAGAGCCTCCAGTTATACAAAGTCTTTCAGGATCTGCCTTTCCACTTTCCACCTAGATGAAGCAAAAAAAGTACACCATCAATAGCTTAACAGTGTCTAGCAAACTCATCCATCACACAATTGAAAATGGCTGAGGAAAAAATGGAAAAAAAAATATATAGTTACCAAAAATTTAGCACAACTGCAGCAGTCATTGACATCAACTATTCCCCAGCTCCCTAAAAGTCGCTCACGAAATTCTCTTCCATAACCTAAAGCATTATGTCATGTATATTAGACTCTTGGGATAACAAACAAATACAAATAAATTAATGGGAATTCGCTCAAAACAAAGAAAGAAATAAGAACAAGTAAATAACATATTTATGTAAGAGCAGTTATAGCACAGAGATCAAATAATCATCAACCATCAAGCAAAAGGCAAGGACGACAAACCAGTGCTTCCGCCATAATTAACATCCACAACGGCCCAACCACGACTAGTCCAGTATTGGATGCTGAGATTTAAGCTCCCATCTGTTTCACTTGTAGGCCCCCCTGCCATAATTCACACAAATCCATATCATAACAAATTCAACATTGGGAAGCAATCAACTAATTCATTCAAGAGAAGTTACATGTTAACTGACATGATTCTAAAAGTTCTGCAATCAACAGATCGGGGAATTTTCCACTTTTCCATCACACCAATGACATCAATATTATCAAATGATTTCCATAATCATTTTAAAATTTTACACGCTAGAATTGTATTTGATAGTTATTTTCGATTTTCGATTCATAGCGCATAGACAGTTGACCAGATTTCCCCCCCCCCCCCTTTTTTTCTTAATTTCTAGCCAATTAATGCAGCATTTTACAGTTCAATCATGCAGGATATTCCTCGATATATATGATTACATAACAATGAGAATGTGAGCTCTAAATAAATGTTCTCTGATTCAATATGAATTATTGTCATTCTATTAGATTTCAAGCAAAATGATAAACTGTCCTAAGGAACATTCTAAAAGCAACACCTAATTGAAAGCAGCATTTTAGTTCGAGAGGCATGATCAGATATTGACATGTTTTATGACTGAAATAGCAATTTTGAAACTTAATTGTTATTAACAACTTTCATGCAAATAAATAACTTACCATGACTTTTCAACAATAATGGGGGCTTTTCTTCTGAGCTAGCTTGGTAAACAGGGTTAGAGGGAGGATAATAGTATGCATAGGCATTTTGACCAGAAACTTCCGTTGGGAATTCAATCAACTCTGGTGAGCTGAAGTAGGACTCATATTTTAAACTATCTGTTGAAGCAGACCAAACAATCTTGAAATCCACTACTTCAAGTTTACAATTATCTAGAATGACCTGCCACAAAAAAGAAAGCATTAATTTGTATCATCCAAATATTTTCATAAACAGCAAAGGAGATATGGCACCTTAGCCACTGATGATGGATGAGTTGCAGATGCTCCCTCAACAATGAGGGTATGCTTCCATGAACTCTGCACAACCAACAATGGACATATTACATAACCATCAGTAGATTTCCTAATGAATTTTAAAGCCAACAGTTGGAGGGATAAGGATTTTGGATGTACAATATTATCTATATCTGTGAAAGGAATATCTAGCAAAGAAAGTGAATGCTGAGTGTCATTAAGAATCCCAAGATATGACCTTCCATTTTGCCTGCATCCAAACATCCAACATTGACCGCAACAAAATAGTCAATATTGAACAAAGAAGAGACGACAAAACTAAGAGATACAGTAAAGAAGCACTGGCATTCTTTCTCAGAGTTACCTGTAGCTGCATGCAATTAAGTTTTTGTCTCCATTGCTCTCAATAAAATCATAAGAATTAATTCCGAAAACCCATAATGGTTTTGTAAACTCAGCATTCAATGGATAAAGTGGTAGCACCTCATTCTTAGATTCAATCTGTCATAAAAGGAAGAGACCAGAGATCAATTATGACAGAAACTAAATAAGTAATGTCTAAACCATTCTCAAGTAACATGCTGCAGGAACTACCAAATACCATCCACTACTTGGGGTTAAAGTAAAAGGAACAAAAGAAGAATTGTAAAGTAATACATTGCACTGGAATAACATTTGTTATACTAGTCAGAAGTATAATGGACTGCAAACAAAAATTTTGGGGCAGTTAATTATAGAAACCGTTGGTCATGGGTCATGATTATGATTTATGACTGCATAAACAATTCATATCACTAGTGCTGGTAAAATGTAAAGAGGTATATTGTACAAAAAGTATACTAAAATGATTAAAATCATAAATATTTGCTTTTATGCGATCAAAATGGTTAACTTAAGGAACTTACCCATTTAAAAAGATTCCAGAATCCATTTTTCCTATCTGTTATGAAAAAGAGTTCCCCTGCAAAGCATTGGGTAAAGATAAAATAACCACATTTAATACCAAAGAACAGTTAGGCATTGTAATTCACGAATCATCATCTCTACAAGGGAGGCAAACAGAATTGATAAAGAACGAATCCCTACCCTAGAGTTGGTGACCAAAACATTCCAGAATCAGGATTGGGACATTGGTATAGTAATATGGATGTCAAGCATGTAAATCAAGATTAGGGGAAAAAATTCGAATTTCCATAGACAAGTCACAAGACAGGTTTTCTTTATCTTTAGCATCATAGATTTTAGAGATCTGATTCATAGTATTTGAAGTTTGATTAAATACATTAATATCATACCTTTAGAGGACCACTTTGGTTCTGTTGGAGACTCCACAATAGTAGGATCAGAACCAGCAACACAAACGCGTTTGTAGATGTCTCTACGCAAGAGAACCAATAAGATTATTGAATTTTACATAGAAAACAGCATCTAAATATCATAAATAAAAATGTAAACTAGAACACTCAGGGGTGCCCTTACAAAAGGACATAATACATTGGTAAAACATGAAAAAGCGGGATTGGGACATAGATCAAATAGGATAAATATACATATACATATATATATATATATATATATCAGTTTATAGCACCCAATATGTAAATAGATAATATGATGATTGCATATCTAATCTAATCTGCTGTCCATGCAATTAGAAGGCATTAAAGGGCCCATGGCCAACTAATTCGGAAAACTAGGAGTCAACAATTTCAGACTTGAACTGACTACCAAAATCCCATTCCTTTTACACATAACCACTTGACCGATAGATTAATGCAAAATTTGTAGCATGGACTCTATGGTCAACCATTCCAGATCAACAACAACAACAAGAAAAAAACATTTATGGTATGGACTGTACACAATGTGAAGAAATAGCTTCTGAAGAAGAGCTTTGGAAGCTGTAGAAAGAATTGAGCTCACCCATTCTCAGAAATATAGCCAACCCAGAGTTGTGATTTATCCCATGGCATGTTGGGATGACTCCATTCAAGCCATGCAATCCTTTCACCATTTGAATCCAAACGTGGGAAGGCATAGAAATCATTGCCACTCACTAATATTTTTGGTTCTAAATTTTGATAGAAAACAATGAACACATTTGACCATAAGATTGCAGCAAAACAAATAATAAATAAAAACATCTAACATCAAACAAGAATTCAAACCACTCAAACAATAAATCATAACAAGACAATTCATGAATCACAATCCATTAAAGCTGATATGAAAGAAATGTATACCTTGGATAGTGTTATCACTTAGGGGCACAGCAACTATAGTTGTGGTTGCATTTGTAGAACTCTCCCTACGATCTATCAAAATTTAAAGATTGAATCAATAGACTAATTCTTTTAAAAGGGATGGTATAACCAAATCACCCAGTAGGATCTGATGACATAAACCTCAGGTAAGAACAGTAGTTCCAATGATCTACCTTCCATTACAGTGATGAAGCGGTCAAACCGTGAATCAAATACTCCATCAGCGTAACTGACAACTGGTCCACCATAATCTGTAGTGATTGGCACTGGAAAAGAACCTGCTTTGTCACCCAGCACATTAATCAGATAATCTCCAAAGTTCAAACTGAAAAATATAAGCAATTGGGCATAATAAAAACTTAATTGTTAAAGCTTCCCCCTCATTCTGATTGCCTTCAGTTCACTCACTAGAAATTTGCTACAAACTGGAAAATATTAGGAATATTGGAAATAATAATTTAAATTCTAAAGTCTGTTCCTCCCTCTTCACTATATTTTACCTTGGGATTTAATAGATTGCCTGTACAGTCTCTGATCCTTGTAATTGGAAAAGATGACAGTATCCCCGGAAATACTGAACGCACCACCTCCATACTCCTGAGCCACCGTTCGCACCCCAAACTCCTTCGGCGTAATATCCGTGGGTTCATCCCCCGGTTTCTCCCCTTCTTTAACGAGAACCACACGACTATACAAATTCCAAAAAAGTTCAAATCCCAATTACAAAATATCAAATGGGCATAGGAAATAATGGTAGTTGTAGCAA